GTGAAATAAATATGGTTGTGTTCCTTAGGAAGTGTATTATTTAAGAAAAATATGTTCTTGGTTTCAACAGTAGAAATTTTTGGAGATTTAAATAGGGATTTGAAATGTGCTTTTGAATGCATTCAAATTTGTTTATTTTATATCTAGAGTTCCTGTGCTCCAAAAATTATGAAATTTTTGTGGTGAACTAATATTAGCATGTGTGAACTCTGGTAAAAATTTGAGGACCAGTGCATGGGTAGATTTAAAGTTATAGATTTTTCTTTTATGACTAGTTAGTCCTTGCATGAATTTTCATAAATTAAGTATGAGTCCAAAATTCATGAAATTTGTTGGAGGTAATCCTAGTACCATATGGATGCTAAGAAAAATATGAAATCTGTTGCTTGACACTTTTCAATAGGATTTTCCATTTATGCTATTTCAAGCCTTGCTGCCTTGTCATTTTTGTATAGAATGTTCTACTTGGTAAAATGACATGAAATTTTGACAGTAGTCTTTTGATAGCATTAGTAAGGCTCTGTAAATTTTTGAGAATTTATTAAGGACATCTGATATATATTTATTATTTAACCTAGATATCTAAATAAAATAATAAAGGCAATTTAATAAATAGTTTGGGCTTCACCATTATATCATCTTAACTGTATTTGGTATGCTTAAACTATTGGTAGGTTCTAGGTTGTCAAATTTTGAATGATTACCTGAAGTAGAAGTATTCTTACTTTATATTGCATGTTAAATCATTTCCGGACTGATTCTAGAGTGTGATGAGTTGCATGTTGAAACTGAGGTGTACTATAAAAATGGTTAATAGCAAAGTTGTAGAGAATTTGATAAGCTTTCTAGAAAGTCCAGGATCACTGGATTTGGATTTGTAGAACTCCAGTTATGAGTGAAACAAGTAGCTACTGTTTGTGGCATAGTCGATGCATTGTAAAAGTAGTTAAGTAATAATCGAGAAGAGATATGCACCTACTCAAACAACGTGATGCACTTGTTAACATGTATGCATTCGTAATACTTATACCATACTCATGCATCTAGGATCGGAGGAAGAGATCACTTTGCTGGAATTCGAAGAAGCAGAGGAAGGGAACCCGCAGGAGGATCCGCAAGCCGCAGCTCCCGAAGGCGTGGAGCAGAACCCTAAAGAGCTTCTAGAGTGCCCTGACCATCGCCCTACTTCCTTTCTGCGAGGCAAGCCCCGGAGCATTATAAGTCTCCCAGTAATTTACAAATGTTTACCTACGTATTTATGATTGATGCATTAGGTTATAAGAGTTGAATGAAACCACTTGATGCATGTACATTCCTTGTCCAAATATTACACCTGTAACCGGTATAGGTCCAGGATCGAATATATATGCTTAGCCATGCTTAGACCGGTAGAAGTCGGGTGATGTCCTGTCACCTGCGAGATATAGGTGGATACCGGAGCACGGTTGGCTATATCTGCTATCGTGGAGCAGAACCATGTGGTAAAAGTAAATCGAGACCGGACGGGAAGTAGATAGAGAAGCAACAAGACATGGAGGTCTTGGGTGTGGATTTATCCCCGTCTATGTCGATTAAGGACCGTACCATTGTTGGTGCTTCTGACAAGATTGAACGCATGCCTCTCACTTAGCTGGCCGGATAACTCGTTCCGACCGCGAAGCCGAGTAATTCAACTCAGGCCGGGAATCATTCTGTTGTGCGCTCCTTCCGGGGAACGATCAGACTGAGCCCAAGGGCAGGCTTGGCCTGAGCATCCTGGCATCTGGTGTTCTAGATTGTGCGGCTTGCAGACGGACCCATGAAATGTGTACCTGAGTTGTATCAAAGGTGACCTAAGGCTATCGTGGCTGGTAGACCTGGGTTTGTGTTAGGAATAAATTCCCAGCTGGTTGAAATCGATTCGAATCGCCGTCTCTCCCGGATAGTGAGAAACTTGGCTAGTCCCAACATCGTAGTAATTGTGTTATGGAACATGATGGTTCGGATGGAAAATGGAATTTCAATACCTGCTATGGTTACTATTGTATGCTTCTAAATGATATACCACATGTTTGGCACAGGATAGTTGCTAATCTAGAAATGAATAGTTATAATTAACTTGGTAAAGAATTAGTACTATACCATGATTTAATTGCTTTTATGCAAAAATGTTGTCAAGTTACGTCCACTTATACAGCCTTGCATAATCCTTGGAGTCGTTTTATTTTCTGGTTCATGACGGGTAAGTCTAGCTGAGTACCTTCTCGTACTCAGGGTTTATTTTCCCAATGTTGCAGATGGCACTGTGTATCATGGTTATTGCAAGAGTTGCTTCTATCCCACTGTGGATGAGGAGTAAGCCTTTGGGTGCTTCTTTATTAATTCCTACCCTTGCTTTTGTGGATCGTGATCTAGCTTGGCACTGTATCAAACTATGTTGGAAACTTTATCTTCGAACTTATTTGCTTCCGCTTTATTTATCAAACTCGGTTTGTAATAACTTTTATTCGTACTCTGATGATGAAAAGTATCTGTGAACTTTATGTAATATGTGGCATGTATGTTGAATCCTGTACGATCTTGGTTGTTGTAAATCATTTATCGAGACCCGTCGTGGTACTCGACGGACTACCGGGTTTATATGGGTTCAAGTATGACAGTGCGACCGCTTGCGGATTGCCATTGTACTTGTATTCTTATAAATTGGTCGGTTCTGCGACATTATACGTCTCGACGCCATAGATTCTGGAGCCTAGGTTAGGGCCACGTTGGCGGCGTGGATGCTGACATGGCAGCCAGCTCGCCATTGTAGATTTTGGCGCCGTGGATCTTGGCGCCGAGCTTGGCGCCATGATTATTAGCGCCAAGCCCTGTCTTACGTATGGGCCCTCCCTTCCTTTCTCTCTTCCTCTCTCATCGCCTCTGAGCGAGCCGGCTGCCAACCATTGCACCGCGCCGCACAAGGTTTCCATTGTCCGTCCCCGTCATTGTGTTTCGTGCCCCAGCGCCATCTTAGGCCATACCACGCCAGCCAAATACTGTGAAACAACCCTGATTTCCAGGAAGTGAAATCCACAGAGTCGAAGTGTAATAAGACCGTTGTAGATCATATTACCCAAATTCCAGTCGAATATCACATCCAACGATAATATCAGAGTACAAATAGTGCGGAATACATAAATTATTACATCGCCACATTGACGGAATCAAAAGTAGCATTCATTCAGAACAGCTTGAAGATAAGATCACCAAACTCGAGCGTAGGCATGAACCCCTCAACCGTCAAACTCCTCGGAGCTATACTCCTCAGCAGAACCTGTGTGCCTAAAATTTATCAGTACGATTTATACTGGCCACTCCCAACCCTATGAGCATTGCTTTGTGAAAATTGGATGCAAGTTGGATATAATCAAAAGGAACCTATAAGGCTGGGGTTTCCTATGTATTAGCATATCAAGTACATAATAATAGTTGGTCAAGTTTTAACACCGTTCTCAAACATTCCACCCCATTTCCCATTCCCGAGCCAGGTTTCGATCCTGGGATCGATATACCACCATCTCCACACCATCACCATACCACACCCATACCATCGCTCGAATGACAAAGCCAACTCCTCTCTAAGATCTGTCTCAAGGCCCGTAGCCCCTGGCTACGTCCGAACTCTCATTCCAGGGGGAGAAGAGAAGGACTCATCTTTCTATCTAGTTTAAGCGAAACCCAGGAAAGGTCCATAGCCGACAAGTCAACATATGTATCGATTGATCAACCATACACTCTGCAGAGGTTTTTACATAACCACAAGATCCGCCTTCCTCGGCCGACCGTCATCCAATCGGGCTGATTCCGCCGCCATAGCCTAGGATAATGCCACTCTACCATTCAGCCCTAGTACACCCCAAGTCTAGTCCTGGGTGGTGAAATCTGTGAGTCATGAGCCGGGTCCACAAGGTCTCCATGAAGTCTCAGAAGGGTGTGGGGGAAATCCTCCGCGCCCTATACCTCCTTACACTGTCCGCTACCAACCTAGCAGTAGTGGCAATATCCTACCAAGTAGTCCGGCCATCCCGCACCATATAGGGCGAGTTGTACGTAAGGCTTCCCGATGAATCCGAGTACTAGTAAGTCCTTAGGGATGACCAAACCGTAATGTCTCCATCCGGTTTCCATTTACCGTGCCATCACAAAGACCTCCACCCTAGGCTCCTCCCATCATAGGATCACACCTAGGGCCACCTCATATACCATTTACCCACCACAGAGTATCCATTCCGGGGTGCCTGTAGTAGCACCCCACGACAAGATTTGCCCTGTGCCTCGTCAGATACTCCAACTTGGTTGACACAACCTCACCCTCCACGCACCCAAGTCACACATGCAAAGACTCTCCCCATGGTCCAGAGATAACACTAGTTTCCACCACGCATCAATGTAGTGCAAGTTTAGTAGAAGTAATAAGCGATGAAATGTAATAGCAAGCGTGTGACTAGCCTATTAGCGGGTGAGCAGGGGGGTAAGGTTGCGCCAAGGTAAAGGCCATCAAGAAAACATACTACCATGCAAGTCCTACCATAATGTGATCATGACAATAAAGTAAGCACTAGCATTTCTATATTAGCCATGCGTAATAGGTGCTACGAGATTGGGTGGGATGTGGCACCTTCAAAGTAGTCGTCTCCAGATCCTCACGGTACTCACGATCCTCGTCCGTCCGGGTGTTCTCCTCCGAGTCCTGCAACGTTCGCATTATAGTCGTGATTAATGACGCCTATAGAAACAACACAAAGAAGCAATAAAAATTCAAAAGAGCCAAATGCACTCAAACATGGGTTCATTGTATAGAGCTGTTTCATATTTTTACGAGGT